TATCGACAGCTGCAGCGCTTAGCGCTTGCCTAGTGCAGAGAGACGAGAAGATGCAGCACCGCGTCCGCGAGCCCTTTATATGGAAAAAAATCGATTCGTGGCCGTTGAGAATCGATTTTGAATCGACCACATTTTAAAAAACGATTAATCGAAAAATCTATTTTTTTGCCCAGCCCTAGTAAATGGTTTAGCTCCTGTGTATTCAATGGACCTTCTATCACCCTACAATCCACCGCGTTCTTTAAGATCACTAAATCTGAGGCTTCTGGTCATTCCTAAGATATCTAAGTCCACTAAAGGAGGGAGGGCGTTCTCGCATTTAGCTCCAACACTCTGGAATAGCCTTCCCGACATGGTTCGAGGCTCTGACTCGCTGTCACAGTTTAAAACTAGACTAAAGATGCATCTCTTTAGTCAAGCATTCACATAAAGCTTACCTTTTATTCCTCTGTTGAATCAGATCGAATGCATTTAATACTACAAAACTTGAAGAGTCTGTAGGTTATTTGTATAGGTTGCATAGTATTTACAGTCATTACTTTCCTGTGTGCATTGCATTAATGATGGGTGGTTGGGCAGATATTGTGTTTTTGTGGTAGGTGGTATGTCATACGGAACCGTTGCCACTGAAACGCATTACCGCGAAAGTGGGGCTCGACAGCCTTAGTCAAACGGGTTGGCGCGTATGGTTGGGTTGCGGAGAGTTTGGGTTGCGGAAAGTTTGTGAGATTGTGGTTTTTAGCATCTACTCCTGTGTAATGGAAATCATTATGAACATCAGCTATGCTAATTATTTCCCATCTGCCTTTCTGCTGTTATCTCTGGCCGCTTGTCCCGAGAAAAATGGCATTCGTCAGCTCCAGTTTGTATTCAGCCTCACACGGAGACTTCAAATGCCCCAACACCTGCAATGAGACGACTCAACGCCTGTGATGAGACGACTCAACGCCTGTGAAGAGACGACTCAACGCCGGCGATATGTTATGCCCTTAATATTACATGATTAACTAAATGTATTATTCCATGTACTTTTCTTTAAGGCACTTTCTGTAAAGCTGCTTTGAAACAATATGTATTGTGAAGAGCGCTATACAAATAACCTTGAATTGAAATAGGAAACATAGAATTAGCTTTCACTGTTATGCTTTCACTGTTATGCTATTATGCTAACTCAGCTCTATATTTCTTCAAAATCTAACAAAACTTACCAATTCACAAAATTAACGGAATGCATAACTGATATAAAAAAATGGATGAACAGTAATTTCCTACTACTAAATTCTGATTATTGGATGGACAAAAACCGTCCAAACGTCACAGCATAGAATACTGTCTAACACTTGATGGCTGCTCTGATAAGTCTTCGTCATCGGTTAGGAACCTTGGAGTGCTCTTTGATGCCAATCTTTCATTTGAAAGTCAAGTGTCTAGTATCTGTAAAACCGCATTTTTCCATCTTAAAAATATCTCTAAATTACGACATATGCTCTCATTGACAAATGCGGAACAATTAGTTCATGCGTTCATGACATCAAGACTAGATTATTGTAAAGCTCTACTGGGTGGTTGCCCTGCACGCTTAATAAACAAACTACAGCTAGTACAAAAAGCAGCAGCTCGAGTTCTTACCAGAACCAGGAAGTATGACCATATTAGCCCGGTTGTGTCAACCCTGCATTGGCTGCCTATTAAACATCATATACATTTTGAAATTTTGATGATTACTTACAAAGCACTAAATGGTTTAGCTCCCCTGTACTTGAGTGAGCTCCTATTACATTATAGTACTTCACGTCTATTGCAATCTCCAAAATTCAGACCAGTTGATAATACCTAGAATATCAAAATTGACTGCTGGTGGTAGATCCTTTTCCTATTTAGCACCAAAACTGTGGAATAGTCTTCCTACCATTGTCCGGGAAGCAGACACACTCTGTCAGTTCAAAGCTTGATTAAGAACCCATCTCTTTTCCCTATCTTACCCATGATTTCCATTACACGATAGTAGAACTTCATGCTGATTTATACTTGGCTTTCGCAAAGGTAAGCAAAACTAAGACGTAGCTTAACAGTAAACTATGCTTCTCCATCCATTTACACTTCTTTCCATATGCTGGTGTGACTCCCCTTCTGTCCGGCGTTAACGGCTGCAGTGTACTTGCCGTGTCAGCACACATGACGGCTGCAACTACAGTGTGGTCTCCCTAGTGGAACACCACGACAACCATCTGGATTGAGCCGAGTAGGGGACATCTCTAGGGTCTTCAAGTGGACACCTTCCGTCCTCAGTGTTTCGTCGACTAGCCCACGACACCTCAAGAGGGCTCGACAGTGACTCTGGCGTCCCAGAGTCACCTCCCTCCGGCCCCCACTCAACTCAGCCCAGCTTACTGACCTCTACAGAGACCTAACCACAATCTCGCGCAACCCAACCATACACGCCAACCTGTTTGATTAAGGCTGTCGAGCCCCACTGGTGCGTTATAAAGCAGTTTCAGTGGCAAACGGTTCCGTATGGCATACCACCAACCGCAAACCACAATATCTGGCCAACCACCATCATTCAAACAATATATACAGGAACGTAATGACTGTAATTTCAGTGCAACCTATACAAACAGACTCTTCAAGAATTCTATGAAACCATAGCGTGGCGACCTGTACATAGCCAGCTAGAATCTTTCCGTCTCAACCACATCCAGTTGCTACTCCTTTCTGCTGCTTCAGATAAGTTCTTTACTGGGCGACGCAACTCTTGGCCACTGAATCCGACGTCCCTGAGGAAACGGGTTGTAGAGTGTGCCACAAAACCTCGACAACCCACTTCCACTGGATAAACCTGGACTCTCCATCCTCGCTGCTCTGCCTCAGTGGCCAGATGAGCATACCGCAATTTCTTCCTCTCATATGCTTCATCTACCGCATCCTCCCACGGCACTGTTAGCTTTATCAGCTGAACAATGCGTGCTGATCCAGACCACAAAACAATATCTGGTCGTAAGTTAATGGTAGCAATCTCAAGTGGAAAAATAAGCCGTTGATCAAGATCAGCCAGCATCTTCCAGTCCCTAGCAGTTTCCAGTTGTCCTGGGCGAGCATTGGTGTTAACACCTTTTCTTGGTGGTTGCTCGCCTGTGTGGAGGAATATTGTCTTCTGCGTGTAATGTTTTGCAGGCGGCAACTTATTGGTCATACTATGCTTGCCCTCCAATGCTAAAGCCAAACATCGCAGTACTTGGTCATGGCGCCAAGTAAACCGACCTTGGCTAAGAGCCACCTTATATCCTGTCAGAATGTGGCCTTAATGTGGCAGGTGATGAACACAAAGGACAAGAGGGATCCTCTTCTACCCAGAGGTTTAGGTTCTGCAGTGATGGGAGGACATCATATGTTGACCTTATGAGGAAACTGATCCTACTTCTCTTCCATTGCCCAAAGGTCTTGCCAGCCCAACTTGCATTGTTGCACACTCTCCCATCTCATCCACTCTCCCTGCTTGGCCTGGGAAATGGCCTTTATACACCTCATCCTCTCCTCCTGCTTTCGCACCTCGTTGACTACCAGCTTCCTGCTTTGAGCTGGGCCTGCCTTGTGCCATTTAGGAGGAGCTACACTAAGCCCAAAACCCCCTCTTCCATGCTGTACCTGTCCCACAATATCCCCAATTTGAAGGGCAGCCTTTGCTTCTACTACAGATTTCTTATAATTCAATGTTAGGCTGCATAGATTAGGTCAGCTGGAATTAGGAACACTTCCCCTAAATTCTGATGTACTCGTTACATCATAAGAAGAATGGCATCTACGCTAATTTGAGTGTCTTTGTTTATCTCGAGGTTATCCAGCAGCCCATATCCAGATTTGATGAGGAGCTTAGCCTGGACCCGATGACAATGCCAACTAGCCTCTCCCTATGGAGGATCCCTTTCCTACTCTACAGATAAAGCGTTGTGAATTTGTTTCGCGTACCTACCCTGAAAAATAAAACAAAATTCTGTATCAAATTTATAGACAAGACAAGTAGTTTTGTTCAGGCATGGTTTTGAACGGATTTACAAACCTGCGCACATATATTAAAATGCACATTACTATAGAATCAATTCTTAATGCGCATGTGAACTCCATCAGCGTTTATCACAGGTTTGCGTTTAAAGTCTGTTCAGAGACATGGATATACATTTTTCCCTTAATTTTCATGTAAATCCGGCCTCTAGTTCATAAACACAAGAGGAGAACTGGCCCCCGAGTGAGCCTGGGTTCTCCCAAGGTTTTTTTTTTCTCCATTGAGTCACCTGATGGAGTTTTAGGACACCATTAGGTCACTTGATGGAGTTTTTCGGATCCTTGCCACTGTTTCCTTTTGCTTGGTCAGTTGGGAATATTCAAATTAATTAAACAATCATTAATACCATTGATCAGCTCAACCACTTAGGATCCATTATGGTGCATTTGGCGTCGCTTTTGAATCAGGGTAGCATTCGTCGCGCCACAATGACGCAACCGGCCTTCGGAGGATGCAGAATTGAACTGGGACAGCCTTTATCGCGCCGCGGTGATGCAATCAGCCTTCAAATGCAACTTTTGGAGGGTGCAGCCTTGGAATTGGGACATCCTTTGCCGTGCCGCAATCAGCCTTCAAATACGGCCAATCGGCCTTCAAATACGGCCTTCGGAGGATGCAGCCTACACATTGGGACACAGCTCCTGCGTTCTCCCTCAATCCTTGTCCGTTCTTGTTTATGTATAGCATGGTTTTTGTGTCTCCTGAGAGTTTGTAAATTCAATTTCTGTTTTCTGGTATTCCTCGTCTCCTCTTGCTTCTTACCACCATGGACCATATCAAATACGTTCTTAAAACGATAATACCAATTAGAAATGCTGTTGTGTGATGCTTATATGAATGTAATAATAATTTGATAAGCCAGGTCCATCCACCAATTCTACAAGATACAGCACATAACATTTGTGTTAATAAAAACATTTAATGAAGTCTTGACTCTGACCTTGACAGAAGATTGAAACTCTTCCCATAAGGCACCAGGGATTTTCCCGGAGAATGACAAGAGAAGATTCAGACAGCTCCTAGCAGGGAACAAAAACATCTGTTGAGTAAATTACCTTTACACTGCATTAAAACTAACTCACTTGTTTACTATTCTCTATATAGTGAAAGGCACACAATGCACTATATAGAAATTCGCAGGTTAAAAACCTCATAACTCAATTTGAGCTCGATTTTGGTCAAATGTTAATAATACAGTGACAAGTGTCTGACCATATATAAATTAATTCAATCATGTATGTAATTTCTTCTTTTTTGTAACTTTGTACTTAAAAACTGCTGTGTTTTTGTTTTGTTTTTCCTGATAATTTAACATGCAGGTTTTCTTTTTGCCCACCCTGTTCTATGAAGGCCCATCCTTTTGAACATTTCTGGCCTGGCCCCTGTCTGTTACAGTGATTTTATTAGGGCTAGAGAAGTGTCCTAAAACACAAGGACACACCGCCATCTAGTGGCTAAAGCAATAAATTAGATTCACACAGTCTCAGACACAGGGCCAGATTATTTTGATATCGGCTGGTTCTGAAATAGATCAACACCAACAGTTACTCACAATTACTGTCACGGTGCGGGTTCGGGCAGAAGGAGAGGCTGAGTCCAGATCTCGATTAAGAGACATTTAATGCAAAAACAGGCAGGAAGACGGGATATACAACGCAACATTCAACATTGACCGACAAGGACAGAATGAAACAGAGGAAACTAAATACACAGAGGAATCAGGGTTAATGGGGTGAAAACAGGTGAAACAGATGAAACAGGACGCTGAACGGGAGGCTGATGAGGGAGTGAGTTCAGGTGTGCAGACGAAAGGATTCTGGGAAGTGTAGTGCTGATGACGCAGACAGGATGGTGCAGACGAAGACTGTGACAGAACTCCCCCCTCCCGGGAGGCGTGACCTCACGCCGCAGAACAGAGGAAGGAGGGGGGACGAACTGGGGGCTGAGCGGGGCGTGGCCAGGGCGGAGCAGGCTGAGGGCGTGGCCAGGGCGGAGCAGGCTGAGGGCGTGGCCAGGGCGGAGCAGGCTGAGGGCGTGGCCAGGGCGGAGCAGGCTGAGGGCGTGGCCAGGGCGGAGCAGGCTGAGGGCGTGGCCAGGGCGGAGCAGACTGAGGGCGTGGCCAGGGCGGAGCAGGCTGAGGGCGTGGCCAGGGCGGAGCAGGCTGAGGGCGAGACCAGGGCGGAGCAGGCTGAGGGCGAGACCAGGGCGGAGCATGATGAGGGCGAGACCAGGGCGGAGCAGCTGGAGGGAGGACCCCTGGTGGAGCCGATGGTAGTGGGGCTGACAACACCAGGGGGCCGACTGACAGGGGCGGAGCGGATGGGAGAGGAGACCAGGGTGCCGCTGAGGGACCGACGACATGTGGTGCTGATGAGGGACTGAGGGAACATGGTGATACCGTAGGTTCTGGTGACTGAAGTGATGACAGGGGCACGGAGGGACACAGTGAGGTCAGAGGGCGTGAGGGTTGACGGGTGACTGGAGGGAGTGAGGAGTCCGACAGCACCGGGGGGGTGACATGACGGGGCGGAGCCAGAGGAATGAAGTCCAAAGGTGAAGGGAGGACGACGAGGGAGCGAAGGGAGTCCGGAGGGTCGAGGGAGCCTGGCCGAGCTGGTGGACTGAGGGGCCATGGAGGAGCTGAGGGAGGTAGGAGCCACGGGGGAGCCAATGGGACCGGGGGCCGAGGAAGTGTCCAAATGGGGGAGGTGTGAGGCGAAGGCCAGGGATACACGGACCAGGCTGGTTTCGGGCGGCTGAAGGGCAGGAGAGCAGAGGGAGGACAGATGAGAGGAGGCGGGAGAGGGAGGCTGGGTGGGATCCTGGTCTCGGGCTCTGGCTGGACGGTCTCTGGGGCTGGCTGGACGGTCTCTGGCGCAGGCTGGACGGTCTCTGGCGCAGGCTGGACGGTCTCTGGCGCAGGCTGGACGGTCTCTGGCGCTGGCTGGACGGTCTCTGGCGCTGGCTGGACGGTCTCTGGCGCTGGCTGGACGGTCTCTGGCGCTGGCTGGACGGTCTCTGGCGCAGGCTGGACGGTCTCTGGCGCAGGCTGGACGGTCTCTGGCGCAGGCTGGACGGTCTCTGGCGCAGGCTGGACGGTCTCTGGCGCTGGCTGGACGGTCTCTGGCGCTGGCTGGACGGTCTCTGGCGCTGGCTGGACGGTCTCTGGCGCTGGCTGGACGGTCTCTGGCGCTGGCTGGACGGTCTCTGGCGCTGGCTGGACGGTCTCTGGCGCTGGCTGGACGGTCTCTGGCGCTGGCTGGACGATCTCTGGAGCGGGCTGGACGGTCTCTGGAGCGGGCTGGACGGTCTCTGGAGCGGGCTGGACGGAACCAGCGAAGAGATCTCGGGCTCGGCGAGGCTGGGCGGAACCAGCGGAGAGGAGAGCTCGAGCTTTGGAGGGGTGCTGGTGACTTCCTCCACCGTGAATGGAGACTCACAGCACACCAGCACCCACTCCACACAGGCGGCGAAATCATCTGGACCGTTCCCTGGGAGGCGTGCCCGGGACCACTCGCTGAGGCTGGCGATGTAGAACTCACTCAGCGAGTGGTCAGAATAGTGAGTCAGGCACGCCAACTCCAGAAAGTCCCGTGTATGGGATTCCAGGGAACGGTCCTCCTGGTCAAGGCAAAGAAGAGCCACTGCAGGAATGTCCATCTTACTTCTTCTCTTTTCTTTTTGGGTCGGTCAATCTGTCACGGTGCGGGTTCGGGCAGAAGGAGAGGCTGAGTCCAGATCTCGATTAAGAGACATTTAATGCAAAAACAGGCAGGAAGACGGGATATACAACGCAACATTCAACATTGACCGACAAGGACAGAATGAAACAGAGGAAACTAAATACACAGAGGAATCAGGGTTAATGGGGTGAAAACAGGTGAAACAGATGAAACAGGACGCTGAACGGGAGGCTGATGAGGGAGTGAGTTCAGGTGTGCAGACGAAAGGATTCTGGGAAGTGTAGTGCTGATGACGCAGACAGGATGGTGCAGACGAAGACTGTGACAATTACTTTGTCTTTAGTGATTTTGCCTTCAAAATAAAAGTATGAGAATGTTTTTGTAGCAATGTTTTATTTTGAGATGAATTGAGAGCTTTAAATTTGAAAACATCTGAAAGACATTTGAAAGACAACCACTTAGACTATTCAAATAGACTATTCTATTTGAACAGTCTATGTTTTCATATCGAATAATCTGTGTTTTCATATTTTTGACAATTTCCCATTCATTTCCTATGGGGGTCCATTTGAACCCGAAGGTCCTGAGTGTGACTATATTTTTACAACCACTTAGACTGTTCACATCCTGTCCCCAATTTTTGTGTGTGTTCACATACCTAATACCATAAAAGTCACCTAGTTTCGTAACATTCCGATGAAGCTGTGATTTTTAAAAATTCAAAACAGATTTATGTAATCTGAATTTATGAGTGTGAAAGTGTATAAAAGTGTGTGTGTGAGTGTGTGTGGCTGTGTCTGTTTTGCACTCTTTGTGTTTTATAGATTCACCCCTTCACTGTTGTGTGCTTTTTTTATGGATTGTGTCTGATTTGTAGATTGTACGCAACAAAAAACTCTGTTTTGTCACATTTTTGCCAATTTCCCATTCATTTCCTATGGGGGTCCATTTGGACCCGAGCACCCCAAGTGTGACTATTTTTTTTACAACCACTTAGACTGTTCACATCCTGTTCCCAATTTTTTTGGGTGTTCATATACCAAATACCAACAAAGTCACCAAAATTCGGACCATTCCGAAGAAGCTGTGATTTTTTAAAAAATTTTATTTGAATGCTTCGGGTCCATCTCTTCCTGCATACTCTATTACGTTACGTGCAACGTCACGTAATACGTAATTCCGTTCAAAAGGTCACGGGCGACGTAGCCGGAAGTACAGAATCAAAATCGTCTGACATCGTTGTTTTACCTTTTAATTCCTTTTTTTTGTAAACGCCGTTTGAGATAGTTTGCACGTTCAACCTATGCGTTCAACTTGTAAACACTCTGACTCTGTACTTCTGGCTACGTCGCCCGTGACCTTTTGAACGTAATTACGTATTACGTGACGTTACTAACGCGCCTCACAGAATAGAGCAAGGCTAGCATTTGTCCTTAGAAAAGTTACATTTTTGGAATAAGTTTTGAAATAACCGATCGTTTCGCATGATAAGACCCTTATTCATCGTCTGGTGTCGTTTAAAGACATTTGAAGATGCATCTGAAACTGTTATTAACTGTCGATTGAACCTTGGACCGTCTGGTTCCCATGTAACTCCATTATATGGAGAAAAATCCTGGAATGTTTTCATCAAAAACCTTAATTTCTTTTCGACTGAGGAAAGAAAGACATGGACATCTTGGATGACATGGGGGTGAGTAAATTATCAGCAAGAGTTTTTTCAAAAGTGAACTAATCCTTTAAGCCCCAAAAACGCCGTTGCCGTGTAAACGAAAGGCACATCCGATAAAATATTTGTAAGTTTTCACCCGCGAGCGTTCTCGTGTAAACAGGGCCTAAAACGCTTCACCGCCGCGTTCCGGTGTAAATGGTAAAAACGCAAAGGTCTGCTGACAGTGAAGGTTGTACGCAGGCGCACGGACTTGGTGTTGTTGTAGTATGCACTCTTAGCCGCCTGGAGTGCATACTACATTGAATTTCACAGACTTTTGCGTCACCATCTGCACGCGGAATTCACACCCAAAACGCTCGTCTAAACGCAGAATAAAAAGTGACAACGCAACACCACTTTTGCATTTTCTCTTCAGAATCGTTTCCGTGTAAACATAGCCTTAATGAAGCTTTCAGAGATTGTTGATTCTGACGCGGCTCATCCTCCGTCTGCCATCGTGTTTTGCAGGTTGACGGGTCTTCAAATGCTTAAGTTACTTGTGTTGAAGGTTCTAATACTTGTTCTACCCCTCGAAATTGCAGTATGGCATAAGACATGTCGCCGTTGTACTGGCTGGTTGGTCCAGTCTGAAATACAGCCAAACTGCGGACATTATGCCAGGGAG